CCATACGGGCGGGCGGGGGGGAGGTGAGGTTGAGACTGATTGTGTTGTCTGGCCAGGCTTCTGAGCCCCACGCACCACCTCGCTTTTTCTCTGTAGAGTCAGGGCTGTGCTGGGCTCAGTGTGAAGGGCTAAAAAAGCTGGGCATGGTGGCACACACCTTTGATCCTAGCAACCAGGAGAAAGAGGTGTGCCGATCTTGGTCTACAAAGTGAGTTCAAGGACAGCCAGAGGTACACAGAGAAACCCTGTTTTGATAAACAAAATAAAACAAAACAAAAATCAGCCAGGCACGATGGTACACACCTTTAATCCCAACATTAAGGTGGTAGAGGTAAGAGATTCTTTATGGGTTCAAGGCTAGCCTGGTTTACAAAGCGAGTTCCAGAACAGCTAAGGATACATAGAGAGACCTTGTCTTGGAAAAATAAAATCAGACGAAAGGTCCAGAAAGACTAGAAGAAAGATGTTTGCTGTGCTTAGATTAACCCTCAGGATTCTTATGTCTGCAATCCCAGCCTGGAGGGTGCAGAGATAGGAAAATCACTGGGGTGTATTAGCCCAAGTGAGTTCCAGGTTAAGAGAGAGAAATTGAAAACCTAAAGGAGAAAGTGCTTGAGGAAGATAATCAATGCCAACTTGTGGCCTCCACTCACATATAAGCCACACAGAGATAGAAGATAGGTAGGTAGACAGACAGATGGACAGACAGAGAGATGGAAGGGCAGATGGACAGATGGATGAATAGATAGATAGATAGATAGATAGATGGATAGATGATAGATAATACATAGATAGATAAACTTAGTACAATCATCAAATCTTTGGCCACTTCCCTGCCCTACTGGCCACCACCAGCCCCTGCCTAATCATCTAGCGTCCCTACTCTGCACCCACAGCTACCTCTGCCAGCACCGGGCACCTGGCAGCCCCACACCTCTCATGGCTTTCCAAGACGGTGGCTACTGTGAGCCCAGCCAGCCTCGCACAGAGACCAGTCTTCCCCCCACCCCCGCATCCTGCTAGTCATGAAGGATGTGGGTATGGAGGATCACCTGACCCTCGCTTGAAGGTCCACAAACTCCCTCCTCCACCTCCTTGCCTTCTGGATGTCATTCTGCCTAAGCTGCCTAAGACCTTGAGGTCTCTAGAGGTGGTGGAAGGGGCAGGGACTCTGTATCTACAGCCGTAGGGAAACCATGGTCTCTGCTGTGGTGAGACTTTCTACAGTTGCAGCAGGCTTTCTAGGTAAGTGAGCTTCCCAAGCTGCACTTCAGGAACTCCAGCTATAGCTTGTTGGAGGGCTGTGAGGAAGAGGGCGGGGATCCTCCCTCCTCCAGCCTGCAGTGAGCCCCAGGTGGGGCATCTCTTTTTAGTTTTAAAAATTCATTCGTTTATCTTGTGGATGTGCATGTAGGGATGTATGTAAGTGGTGCGGGTCCGTGTAGGGATGTATGTAAGTGGTGTGGGTCCGTGTAGGGATGTATGTAAGTGGTGTGGGTGAGAGTGGAGGTCAGAGGACAACTCTCCTTCCACCACATGGGTCTGGGATCAAATTCAGGCAATCAAGCTTGGCAGAAAGCATCTTTAGCCACTAAGTCATCTCATTGGTTCTGTTTGCATCTTTTGGGGCAGGGTTTTATGCCGTAAGTTGATTCTGAAATTGGTCTCTGGCTGAGGATGACCTTGAACTCCTGATCCTCCTGACTCTATCTCCCCAGTGCTGAAATTACAGCTATGCACCTCCACGTCATTGGCTGTCCCCCCTTCCACGCACCCTCCTCTGAGTGTCAGTCTTCCAGCTGGAGGTGTCAGTGGTCTACCCACCTTATGTGCTCACAGAGCCAAGCTCTCCCCAAGATGATGAGAAATTAGTGCATTAATGGCAATGACCCTAAGTGTGTTCTGAGAATGAATGCCAGCAGGGCAGGAGGAATGAGGTGGCTTGGTGTCCCTTGGGTTACCTAATGGTTCAGCAAAGGTTGTTGGGACAATCTGGAGCAGCATGGAAAAGGTGGCACTGTGGCCACCACTCCTTATTCCCTTTGAACCAGAGGATTCATCTTCATGTAACAAACAGCGCTTTTAATGGCCTAGACATCTCTTAAATAGTCCATTGGGAAGTTTATACTGAGAGCGAAACAGGTTTGAGTTAGCCTTTTTGTCCCACTGAACAGGTCCAGACGGGGCACAAGCATAGAAAATGGTTCACTTCTCAAACTCAGAGTATCCATGAGCCCTGAGCTCTTGGATCCACATCTCGTTGCCCTTGGCAAGTTGTCAGAGTCTCGGGCCTCAGAACAATGTGCTTGACTCTCAGTTCTCAACTGGAGTCTCTAATGGCAGATGAGAACATGAGAGTCCAAACACAGCCTGAGGGGGCTCAGGGGGATCCGAGGGGACCCTTGTGAAGTGAGGGATTTAGTTCTTGCAGCCATCACCGAATACAGCCAGCTCTAGCCTCCAACATGCACCTGGGCTTGATCTTCTGGCTACATGTCACCTTAAGTGTGACTGTGGGTCCAGCGTTGCTAGAGGCCCTGATATGCCTCTCTGGAGGGCCGAGCCTGTCCCAGCTGGGTCCAGGGCATCACCAGCAAAGTCTATTTTAAGCTGGGCCAGATCACAGCCCGTAGGTCTGGCCCCAGCCTTACAGAGTGCTGCCTTCTCCCTCCCTCGCCACCTCACCAAAAAGGGAAACCATTTTCCATAATGACACGCTGGGCTGTCTGATTACTGTATTCCATAATGATGGCTGTGTGTTCCAATGACAGGCACGTCACCTCCCTGCTCAGTCCACTTGCCCTGCTTGCTGTTGGTATAAATACCTCCCCCAACATACGCAGGCTGGGGAGGCCCATGCTTTAGAGGGTCCCCACCCCAGGCTTCCTTGGGAGGTGGGGGGAACATTCTTCTTCGGAGCCACTTTATCTGTGGGGGCCACATGGGCAGCCCCGCCTTGCCTAGCCCAGCATGGCTCCCACATGACCTCATTGGCTAGAAGAACAGTTGAGAGCAACCTTTTTTTAAAAAGGGCACTGCTTCAGGTGCTTGCTGTCATGTCTCTTTAACGTCTGTGGTCTGGGGCGGCGATCAGGGCAGTTTTACATACATTGGACATAGCTCAGAGATTTCCATGAACATGACTTAAATTGGAGGCAAGATAATGAAAAAGAAAGAAAGAAAAAAACTGACTTTCGTCTGAATGAATCAACCTCTATTAATGACTTCTTAGCATATTTCTGATAATAATACGTTTAAAAAAATGTGTATTTTAAACCTGGCTCAGTAGACAATAGCCAGCCCTGGCCCCCAAAGGTAAACAACGAGGGAGTAAAAATAGTCCCGGCAAGTGTTTACATTTTTGTCCCCCTGAGTCTTTTTGGTTTACAGTTCATCATTTCAAGGATAAGAATTCTAGAATTTTCTGTGTATTTATACAACGGAGCTATTGCTATGCACCACGTTAGTGATCAGACCCTTCCAAGAAAAACCAGTTTTATCTTGACTCCCACACACTGGTCAGATGGAACATGACTGACTGGAAGGAACCGGGACAGCCCCTGGCTCCACGCAGCCTCCTCGGGCAGATATCAGGTGCTGGACACCCGACCCCATGGTGGGTGGGAGGCTTCTTAAGGCTCCTAAGGGAGAGGAAAACATCTCACCTAGCTCCAAAGGTCTCAGGTCAGACTCAGGCTAGCACTGAGTCAGAACAAGGGGACTCGATCGGTTGGGGACGTTTCTTTGTGGTTTATCCACTAAAGTTTTTTCCAGCCAGAGCAGTGTACATGCGGACCAAGCCCCTAGCTGGGAATCCCTTCTCTGTGAGTTCAGTGGGGGCCACATGGTGTGTCTGGGACCCGTCTGTATCAGGGGCCAGCCAAAGCACCCGTGGAGAGTTAACTTGGCATCTGTGTTGTCAGCGCCAGTCTAACTCGGGGGCCCGGAGGCTACAAGAAGGGTATACTGACTTTTCAGAAGTTGAGACTGGCCACCCATCCACCTGCCCCCCACCTCCCAACACTCAGTCAGCAGATTAACGTTTTGTTTAAGGTTCTTCTGCTCCACAATTTATGATGGTTATTTAGAAATGTCACACAGGAGGCACCTCCGCTGAGCTGTAGGGCGCTCAGAGTGCCCATCCCACAGCCGCCTCCCAGAGAGCAGGGTCTCTGGCTCGCTGCCCGGAGCCTGCGCAGCGGCAGCAGCAAAGGCAGCAGCAGCAGCAACAGGGCCCTGGACCAGCAGCTGAGGGCCCTTGGCTAAATGCTCTTTGCTTCGGTTAATGAGAATCCCCACATGTTTTCTTCCATCCTCGGCTGTTCTCAACTATCCAGAGTCTTAAATTCCTCACAGGTGGGGGATTACCTTAAAAGGCACCCTAAAACTCTTTGAATTTTGTCCTGAGGGTGTCTGCTCACATCTATATAATTGTTGAGAACAGGAGGATTGCGGCCAGTTTGAGGCCAGCCACAGCAGCATAGCAAGACCCTCCCCGGACCCCTCTCTCTCCACATATAAGATAGAAATCAAATAGGGAGTGTGATGAGCACCCCTTTGATCCCAGCACCGGGAAGACAGATGCAGGTGGACTTCTATGAGCTCCAGGGCAGCCGGGGCTGCAAAGTGAGACCCTGTCTAAAAATAAAATAAAACAAACCCCCGGGTTCTGCCCTTAGCCTACTCATCTCATTCCACAAATTGGCAGAGTGGTCGCCCAGGGTCCTGCGGGTTAGGGGCGGGCCTGGGCCACTCCACGAGCCTCCCCCTGTTCAAGGCTGCGCCGCGCTGCCGCTGCTGTGGGGCCAGGCTGGAGTTGGGGGCACCTCCCATGCAGTGGGGGGCGGGAGCGGGGCGGGGCGAGGGCGCGGCTGCAGGTGACCCCGTGACCCCCGGGGCGGGGAGCCGGGGGACCCCAGGACCAAAGAGACGGGGGCGGAGCAGCTCGGTGCAGGCGGCTAGGCTCAGCGCTCCTCCCGCCTCTGCCGGTCCCTCTGCTGGACCCAGGGCGTCCGGAGCGAACACATCATGCAGGGCACGCAGGATAGCGATATCGGCCTGGAGGGCTTGTCCCGCGGGGGCGCAGCTGCGGACCGTGAGTGCCAGCGAGGACCGGAAACAATCGCGCACGAGGCACAGGGCGCAGGATCCCCCAACTCAGGTGGTAGGACCTTCTCTGAGCTGCCCTGCAGGAGGAGAGGGAAGGGATTTGGGTGGAGGTTGCAGGGGACACTGATGGACAGACAGACAGATGTGGCCAGTTGCCGCGCGGGGGCTGGTAGTGGTGCCTCGTGTCCCTGGAGGGACCTTGTTTGTCCCCTAAGAAGGACCTTGCCTGTCCCCGGGAGAGACCCTCCTTGTCCCTTGGAGGGACCTAGGCCACCGGGTGGCTGACTCCCTCGGGAATATCCCCAGTCTGCTGCATCTACCGCTCCTGGCAGATGTGAGTCTTCGGATGTTTTTACAGGCACTATTAATACTCTTAATATTTCCGCGCTGTTGTGGAGATTTATTTGGGAAGTAAAGTAACTCCAATGACTCGAAGTCATAACGGAAACTGCTCACAGAGCAGGGAGACAGATGAGGGTTTGGGAAGCCAGACAGGGAAGGGAAGTCCTGGCCAATAAGTCACTATCTTGGATATTTTTATATGAATAATTCTCAAATAAATGACCCAGGAGACGTGTCCTGCATGTTCGCCTCCCAGTTCGGAGGTTATTAAATAAACCCGGAGTGTGGTGGCAAGAGGGGTTGCACTTGATAGCACAGTTGAGCTTGCTGGGGATGAGCCCTGGTCAGGGTGTTGTCTTGCCATCAAGCTACTTTGCCGCCTTCCTCTCCCGGTCTTCACTTAAACTCCCAGGAAGCAACTTATTCTGGTGTGCTGTTTAAAATGGTCCAATCTGGCATCTTTAGCCTCAAATTAAAGGGGTGGGGCCACCAATACCAGGTGAAGAGCCAGGGCTCCTGCCAAGGCTGGTACTAGATGGCCAGACCCCTCTGTCCCTGCTCCAGCTCGTATTTCTGTCCTTTTGGCAGCCAGTCCGAAACACTAGCTCTGGGCTGGTTCTGGGTGAGCGGCTGACTGGGTTCTGGGTTCTGGAAGGAGCGTTGTGGGTATCAATCCACTGACAGCTAGATGCGGTGGGGCATGGCTATCCCCCACTACGCAGACTGGGAAACTGAGGCCTCACAGAAGGCATGGTGGCACCATCTGGGTGCAGCTGTTGTGATGTTCCCTTACTCCATCTTAGGCGGAGTCTGAAGCCATGAAGCTAAGACCTGAAGAGACAGCCTTGTCCTGGCCCGTGCCGTGCCCGCCAATCACCATGGCAGGGAGGCCTGGGCTCTAGTTTTTACCTGGACTTAGGCCAGGTGGGTCTCGGGTGTGGGCATCCAGGTTTTCCTCTGTGGCAGCTTGGATGGGACAGTTCCTGGGTGGGCATAGGTGCAGGATGGTCACAACACCTCCACTCCTGGTCCATCCCCCTGCAATACAACTTTTATTCTGGCTATGTGCTGAGCAGGCTCTTGTCCCTCTGCCACCCTGGGCATCACCAGAGCCAGGAGTAAATTCTTAGGACTGGCAGACCAGCCTTAATGTTTGGGTTCACATGGGTGCCATGGCCCCACCCCAAGGCATGCAGAAGTGCTGGGCATATATGTGAGTGGGAACAGCGGGGAATAGAACCAGAGACTGAAGCTGGTAGCATTGTGACACAGACCATGAGGAAGCCTAGAACTGCGGGACAGACAGAAGCCTAGAGATCAAGGCTGCTCTCTCCTAGTTTCAGCCTCTGAGAGGATAACTTGTACAGTGCTGTTGTGGAGGACAAGGTGAGCGGAAATGGAGACTCCTGAGTCAACTGATCTCTGAACCCCCGCTTTGTTGCCGTACCCACCCTGTACCTTCTCCTTAAAGTATTGTGAGGGTGGGCTTGAGCCTGTCACCCGTCTCTTGTCCGTAGTTCTGTTTCCAGTGTGAGGTGAGGACTGTCATTCTGGTAATCTCACTGCCATCCCTCTGAGGGAGGTGAGGGTAAATGCATGCCATGCGGGGAGAATGTGATTCCAGCTGCAGCTGGGTCTCTTGGGTTTGAGGATCTGACAGAGATAGTGCAGGAAGAGAGTGAGGAGAGATGGAGCCGAGTGGGGGTACAGGCTGGGGGTGGGAATCCAGAGGCCCCAGGGGGCACTTGAGCTGTGTGTGTGTCAGGAGGAAGGCCAGCCAGAAGGCTGGACCTCTGGAGCCCGCAGAGGCTCTGCAGTGCTTCACTGTAAAGTGTGTGGTGGTGATGGTGGTGATGATGGTGATGATGGTGGTGATGGTGATGGTGGTGATGATGATGGTGATGGTGATGGTGGTGATGATGGTGATGAAGATGGTGATGATGATGGTGATGATGGTGGTGATGGTGGTGGTGGTGATGGTGGTGATGATGGTGATGGTGGTGATGATGGTGATGAAGATGGTGATGATGATGGTGATGATGGTGATGGTGGTGGTGGTGATGGTGGTGATGATGGTGATGATGATGATGATGGTGATGGTGGTGATGATGATGGTGATGATGGTGGTGACAGTGGTGATGGTGGTGGTGGTGATGGTGATGGGCAAATCAGTGGGTGGGTACATGCTGAAAGCAGGGGACTGGGACGCCATGGGTGTGTGTGTGCGCGCGTGGTGAGTGGCTCTAGATTCAGGGCTGGGCAGCTGCAGAGCAAGGATTATAAGGCTTGAGCTTGCATGGGACAAAGGTAGAGTGAGGTGGATCCTTTGATTTAGTTTGTTTTTATCAAATCGAGATAGAATATATAAGATTTTCATAACAGTCACATGACTCACTGACATCAAACCTTACATGTCAAGTAAGTGCCACCTGTCTGCCATCACTTCGGTACTCTGTCCATCAGACATAGACCGCGCTTTCTTCTCAGACCCAGGCAACTGACTTCCCCACCTGTCTCTGTGAATCTGTCAATGACACTGGTGACCGCCATCATGCATCGTTGTCTGTGTAATGTGTTCTCGAGGTTGCTTCATCTCACAGCAAGCCTCCCTGCTTCTTGTAGATGGCAGAGTAATACTCCGTTGTACCAAATATTTTACGTATCTACTCACACATCAGTATACACTTGGTGTCTTTTCACCTCCAAGCCGTTTGCAGTAATGCCGTAACTCCAAGGACTCTACGGGAGAGCCGGCCCTCAGTTCTTTTGTGTAACTACCTAGGTGAAATTGCTGGATCATTTAGTTTCTCCATCTTTAACATTAACAGTTATTATTATTGGGCTGAGAGATAGCTCAGTAGTTAAAAGCAAGTACTTCTCTTGCAGAGGACCCAACTTCAGTTCTCAGCACCCACATCAGACCCCTTCCGACCACCTGTAACTCCAGCTCCAGAGGACCCAGTGCTGCTGACTGCCGAGGGCACCTGTACTTGTGTGCACAGATCCCACACAGACACACAGACCTAGAGCTAAACATAATGAAATGAATCTTTTAAAACTTTACTATTGTTATTGTGGAGAGCATGTTTAATACGTGTGTGTGTGTGTGTGTGTGTGTGTGTGTGTGCGCGCGCGCGTGCCATGACACATGTGAAAGACAGGATAGTTTTCTTTCTTCCTTGATGTGTGGATTCTGGGGCTTGATCTCAGTTGCCAGCCTTGTGTGACAAGGGCCTTTACTGAGCCATCTTACTGGCCCTCATTTGTTTTCTACAGCCACAAGAATTCCGACATCCCTAACAACATTTGGCATTTATATAATTTTGTTTGTGTGTGTGTTTGTTTGTTTTGAGACAGGGTCTCACTGTGTAGTCTTGGCTGTCCAGGAACTTACAATGGAGACCAGGCTGGCCTCAAACTCACAGAGACGAGTTCGTCTCTCTGCCTCCCAAGAGATTAAAGGGCGGTGCCACCATGACTGACTTGTAATTTTTTTTTTTTAAGATGGAGACTCATGCACCTCAGGTTAGCCTTAAACTCTTTATATAGCTAAAGATGACCTTAGACTCCTGATCCTTCTGCCTCCACCTCCTAAGTACCAGGATTACAGGCATGTGCCACCTCTTCTGGCTTATCTTTAGTTTATTCTTTTATAGTACAGTCGTCTGGACAGATGTGATGTGATGTGTCACTGTGGCCTCGGGACTGGCTGCCCTGAGTGTCAACATGTTGTCTGTCACCCATCAGTCTTCTATAGTAGAAACTCCCCCAAAAGACAGTGGGAGCAGGTCTACTTCTAAGCGTTTTGTCTTCTTGTTGAGCTGTAGATCTTCTAGAGCCTGGATATCAACCCTTATCAATTGTGTGGTTTGCAAATATTTATAGGTTATCTCTTCCCTTCCCCACGGCACCCTGTGATACATAGAAATCGATTTTCCTGGTGTCCAGTCAAGGCCTCTCCCTCTCAGCCAGGGTCTTTGGTGTCAGCTCTAAGAACCTACTGCTGATCGCAAGGTCATGAAGACTCAGCCCCATCCTAAGAGTTTGTGGGTTTTGTTATATTTAGATCATTGATCCAGGTTGAGTTAATGTTTATATATGGGGTATGGAAAGGGTTTGGTGTCATCTTTCCCGTGTCATCAAGTCATCGAGGCACTGTCTGTCAGAGGGGCCACCCTTCAAGGGTTTGTCTTTGAGAAATTGTTACTGACAGGTAACTGTCACCAAAGCTGACACTCAGCCACTGCTGGGTGTGTGGTGTTTATTAGTCTGGTGTCTAGGTGCTCTGTGGACACCTCCTGGGAGGCCAGAGACAGAGGGGGTGCAGCTGGCCTGCTTGATAGTAGCCTATACCCTGTCCTCTGCAGCTGTGACTGAAGCTGACTGTAGACAGCACCCCTGAGAACCCCATCACCCTAATTGTCAGGTGACCACCAGTTGTGGGCAGATGTCCTGTGGGTGTGACCACATGGTAGGTTTCTCCATTGTACCATAGCGAAGTTGAGAAAACTGTCTTCCAGCTCTATAGATGGACGCAAAATTCCATTACCATCATACAGACACGGTGGGGGATGGGGTAGCTGCCTTCTCAGGAATAGGATGTGAGATGGCAGCCATGTCAGGAGCAGGGTCTGGGGTGGCATCGTTCTGCTCTCCATGTTTATACTATGATCTACATGGTGCCAAGTCTGAGTCTGCCCCATAGACCTG